ATGCAAAAGATGCGAGAGAAAGAGTATGGGCTGATCGACTCCCTGGTGATTGTTTCGCCCAATCCTACTCCTCGCAAGTCCACACTCACTCCGGCTGGGCGGGCTGCACGCGGAAAGAGAATGAGCAGTGGATCTGTTGAAACAGGTTCCCGTGGGGCGAAACGACTCTCGTTGACAAACGAGCCTACTGGCCCGCTCAGTGGCATTGCTCCCTCACCCATCCATGCTGCCAACCTGGTTAACGATTCGGCGGCACAGTTGGATGTACTGCCTGCGTCAACGGGGCCTCGGGAGGTTGATGGGCTTTTGGTTCGTTCGCCTCCAGTTGTCGGTGAAACCTTCCCTTCTACGATCGATCTGACCCTGGAAGATTGATACTATTCCGTCTCCCTTATCGGACGTGATGTATATTTTTGTAAATAATCTATCATGCTCTGAACGGCGCTCGTATTTTGCATATTATACTGCCAACATTTTATGTACTCGCAACTATTTATTTTAAAACAATTTTATGACAACTTTTTTACTGTTTTATTTTTGAGTACCGCCATCGTCCTGCGTAAATGTCAGTCCCTTGTTTATGGGAGGAACTTTAGAATAACGTCGAATTAGAGTACGCTGATTAAGAAACTTCAGTTAGTTACTTGTAACTTCTCTAAGGTCTCGAGGAATGCTAATACGCATTTCTGTACTGCTTCAAGGCGTGTGGCACTGATTGTGTCTTGGCCTGGTGGAAGCGACTGGGTTTCAGCTTCTCTGAGGTATCTAATACCCGCAGCTTCCCTGGTTTTGCCGTTGTATTCGACTTTCCTGAAGCGCTAACATCCGTCCTTAATCATGGCCATTTTCTCGGGAGAAAGAGAGAGAGAGTTACGTTTTATTTTGAAAGTATAATTCTCAAAATTTCAGCAAAACTCATTCATTCAAAAGGAAAAAAATACCGCACAAACTCACGAGACCGGGAAATCAAAAGTAGTGCATAATCACCAATGACTGCAATTTTCGGTGTCGTGGATAAATATCCTTCGAAAAGCCCAATATAGGCCAGATTGGACTGCTTTGAAATCGGCTCTAGCGTTGTGACCTTGTGCGCTCTACCTCATTGTAATTAAAATGAACGAAGAGGCATGATAAAATGGGTTTGTAATGGACGAAAAAGGCCAACCGTTGTGCATATAAGAAAATTTACATGCGAATGGATGGAGGGACAAATGACCCAGTTCATATTTTCCGTGGACTTCCCTCGTGGTTTCATCACATGGGACAGTCGTGGCATTCCAGCCTCCGGCAACGAAGAGCAAATCTCTAGGTGAAATCCTAGCCACCGTAGCTTAAGCTTGTTCATAGAACCCACTCAACTGCGTCATCCGCTTGCATTTTTGAGGCATTTACAGCAACAATAGACAT